CTCAGAGAGCAAGTGCCTGGAGAGCTCTCGTCCCAGAGCCTCACCTGGCTGACCCCTGGACACCCTTTAGGCCCAGCTCTGACATCACTTTCTCCACGGCCTGCCCTCCTGGACTCCTGACTGTGCCTCCCCAGCACGGGCTGTTCTCTTTTCTCCTTTTTCCATTAAACTGAGCTCTGTGCCAAGGGCAGTGACTGGCAGATGGGAGGGGCCAATTAGTATTTTATTAATGAGTGAATGACTGAATGAACAAATGAATGAATGCAGTGGGATCTCTAGGCACACTGGAGTGGAGCCATTGTTTACTTCCTGCCCATGGGACTTGATTTGAAGCCATCCCAGCGTGGGCCATTGGGAGTTCTACCCTGCCAAGGAGGGGTTGCTGGTCAGAGGGGTGCTGGAAGGCGGGGGGTGCTGGGGGAAAGGGTGCAGATTTGCAAAGGAGGTTCTACTTGAGCTCCCTGCATGCCACAGCCGGTCTGAGCAGTCCTGGGAAGCCCCAAGCTGCCAGGCCCATGACTCACAGGCCCCAGAGAGCATTCTTAACCCTCCCTGACCCCCCATCTGTCTTCTGATTGGGCCCTCAGGATAACCCCTCATGGGTTTCTCTCCTGCTTCAGCCAGTCCCTCCCTGTGATCTGAGGTGTGGGATCCTGCTAACTGTAAAGGACCAGTTCAGGATTCCTGGGTCGTATTGTGATTTTTTTTTTTTTGAGACAGAGTTTTGTTCTTGTTGCCCAGGCTGGAGTGCAATGGTGCGATCTCGGCTCACTGCAAACTCCGCCTCCCAGGTTCAAGCAATTCTCCTGCCTCAGCCTCCCGAGTAGCTGGGATTACAGGCATGCGCCACCACGCCTGGCTCATTTTGTATTTTTAGTAGAGACGGGGTTTCTCCATATTGGTCAGGCTGGTCACAAACTCCTGACCTCAGGTGATCCGCCTGCCTCAGCCTCCCAAAGTGCAGGGATTACAGGCGTGAGTCACCACGCCCAGCCATAATTTTTTGTATTTTTAGTAGAAATGGGGTTTCACCATGTTGGCCAGGCTGGTCTCAAACTCCACACCTTAGGTGATCCACCCTCCTTGGCCTCCCAAACTGCTGGGATTACAGGCGTGAGCCACCATGCCCGGCCCATACTGTGTTTTCCTGAGCAATCCTTCCTGTGTTTATGGACAGGAAAAAAGTTACCACCGTACTAGGTGAAGGTCACTCTGATTTTCTGAGACCCCTCACCATCCTCTTCCTACTTCGCACCTGTCTCCCGCATGCTATAGAAATTGGGTCAGGTCGCCGGGCGCAGTGGCTCACGCCTATAATCCCAGCACTTTGGGAGGCCGAGGCAGGCGGATCACGAGGTCAGGAGATCGAGACCATCCTGGCTAACACAGTGAAACCCTGTCTCTACTAAAAATACAAAAAATTAGCTGGGTGTGGTGGTGCGCACCTGTAGTCCCAGCTACTTGAGAGGCTGAGGCAGGAGAATGGCGTGAACCTGGGAGGCGGAGCTTGCAGTGAGCCGAGATTGCGCCACTGCACTCCAGCCTGGGCAACAAAGCGAGACTCCGTCTCAAAAAAAAAAAAAAGAAAAGAAAAGAAATTGGGTGAGGTCCTCCTCTTCTCTGCCCTTTTCTCAGCCCCTCCCCCTTGTCCAGACATGACTCCCCTCTCAGCCCAACTTTCCTGTTAGCGGAAGAGTGTCTGATGGCCTCCTCTCACCCCTTTGTTCTTACATCATCAGTGGGAGGCAGGGCATCCCGGAGCTCAGGCTCAAAGGCTTTCCTCTTTATCCCATTAGTTTGTTAGATAAGAAAGTTTCGATTTCAAAATAACTTTAGATTTACTGAGGCTTGGCATGGAGGCTCACACCTGTAATCCCAGCACTTTGGGAGGCTGAGGCGGGCGGATCACGAGGTCAGGAGATCGAGACCATCCTGGCCAATATGGTGAAACCCTGTCTCTACTAAAATACAAAAAATTTGCCAGACGTAGTGGTGCATGCCTGTAGTCCCAGCTACTTGGGAGGCTGAGGCAGGGGAATCGCTTGAACCTGGGAGGCAGAGGTTGCAGTGAGCCAAGATTGCACCACTGCACTCCAGCCTGGTGACAGAGCAAGACTCCGTCTCAAAAAAAAAAAAAAAACAAACAACAACCAAAAAAACATCTCACGCAACCATGGCACATTTGTCCAAACTAGGAAACTGACATTGGTACAACATGACTCACCAAACTCCAGACTTTATTGGGATTTCACCAGATTTTCCACTAATGTCCTTTCTTCCTTTCCAGAATCCATCCCAGGAAACCACATGACATTTAGTCATCTGCCATTGCATTCCTTTATGTGTATGATCAAGGTAATAATTCTGTTTTGCAGGTGAGGAAAAAAGTAATTCATTGGCCAAGGGATGGCCCTGTCACATCTAGGAGACGAAGGCAGTGGAATAAAGGGTTTAGGACTTGGCTAAATTTAGAGCCGGAATCTATGTGGTGTGACCTTGAGCCTTCGTCTCCTGGTCTGAACGATGGGATCATAGATCATTCCTTCCTTCCAGGCAGTGGTGGGGACTAAATGAGATAATACATGTGGGCGTATGCGTGCCCACGAAATGGTAGCTGCTGCTGTTGTTATTACTGTCAGGATCGTCATCAAGGAGCCTTGATCCCAGGCAGGCTGCCTAACTGCTGAAACCTAGCTTCCTGTTCAGCATAGTCAATCATCCCACCTCTCCAGCCTCACCCCAAACAACACAAACAAGAGCTCAGGAAACAAACATCAGTTGTTGACACCCTTCCTTACCCTCAAAACTTACAGAGGTTGTGTCTCAAGGTCAAATAACTGGCTAGGAGCTTAACCAGACAGAGAATCTAGTTTTTTGTTTTGTTTTGTTTTTGTTTTTGTTTTTGTTTTTGTAGAGATGGGGTTTCACTCTGTTGCCTGGGCTGGAATAGAACTTCTGGGCTCAAGTGATCCTCCTGCCTCGGCTCCCAAAGTGCTGGGATTACAGACATGAGCCACTTCACCCAGGCCAAGAATCTAGGTCTTGCTAAGACCTTGTTCCATCCACTGGGCAGAAACCCTCCCTCTTGTCTTCCTCCTCCCCTCCCCTCCCCTCCCTTCCCATTCAGAGACTGCTCTGGGGAGCAGAGGCCACCGGCCGGCTGCTCTTAATTCCACCTCATGGGATGCCCTGCAAGGGACCCCATCACCTCCCCTGGCCTAAAGGAACTGCCACAAACACCTGATGAAGGAAGTGGTCCAAGGTCATTTTCATTTTCAAAAAAAGTAAAATCATGACTCCCACACAGATAGAAAATGAATAGGTATTAACCATTTTATTTAACTCATAAGGGAGCCAGGTGATGTTATAACCAGCTCAAAAGGGCAGTTAAGAGCCGGGTGCAGTGGCTCACTCCTGTAATCCCAGCACTTTGGGAGGCCGAGACAGGTGGATTGCCTAAGGTCAGGAGTTCAAGACCAGTCTGGCCAACCTGGTGAAACCCCGTCTCTACTAAAAATACAAAAATTAGCTGGGCCTCATAGCACATGCCTGTAATCCCAGCTACTTGGGAGGCTGAGGCAGGAGAATCACTTGAACCCAGGAGGCGGAGGTTGCAGTGAGCCGAGATCATGCCACTGCGCTCCGCTCCAGTCTGGGTGACAGAGTGACTCTGTCTCAAAAAAAAAAAAAAAAAAGGGGGCAGCTAAGAACAGTCACATTCATAGGTCAGGAATATTGAAATGAATGTGTAAATGAAACCTGGTTTTTCAACAAGAGAGCGAGGGAGAACCTCTACTAGACAGTGCAATATATCATTTGCCTACAATTTACAGAGCTATAAAGTCGCTCAAAGGCAACAAAAGGCTAGAATCTGATAACTAGGAAGGGTGTGCTGGGTGTAGCTAGTGCATTATTTTCCGCTGAATCACACACATTTTTTTTTCTGCAGAACGAAGGTTATGAGCAGGGTATACTCCGGAGTCTCTAATCTAATGCTCACTCTCTGAGAATTAGTGTGAGTCATACAGGATACAAGGACCTTTCTGGATGGGTTGGGAAAATTATATCTCACTTGCAAGCAAGAGGACTGCAGTCTAAACTCCCCCTCTTAAGATGCAGGTCTTGGCCTGGCGTGGTGGCTCACACATGTAATCCTAGCACTTTGGGAGGCCAAAGCAGGAGGATCACTTGAGCTCAGGAGTTCAAGACCAGTCTGGGCAACACAGAGAAACCTCATCTCTTAAAAAAAAAGATGCAGGTCTTAGCTGGGCACGGTGGCTCACTCCTGTAATCCCAGCACTTGGGAGGCCGAGGCAGGAGGACTGCCTGAGGCCAAGAGTTCCAAACCAGCCTGAGCAACATGGTAAAACACCATCTTTATGAAAAATTAAAAAAATCAGCCAGGTGTGGTGGTGCATGCTTGGGGTCCCACCTACTTGGGAGGCTGAGGTAGGAGGACTGCTTGAGCCCATTGAGCCGTGTTTGCACCACCGTACTCCAGCCTGGGCAACAGAGTGAGACTGTCTCCAAAAAAAAAAAAAAAAAAAAATGCAGAGCTCAAGACATTAAAGATTTTTTTCAGCTGGACTTTGGCACCTGTGTTACACGATGGGCTCTGAAACGTTCTAGAATATGGATTTCTGAAGTGGGTCTGTACTGGAGGACTATAGAGTTTTCACTGGACCCGCTTTGATCCTGGCTCTGCTGTGCAGCCTTGTGCAGTTATACCAGCTCTCTGATGTGCCGCTTCCTCCTCTCTGGCGATGTCAAAATTGCTACTTCATAGGTTATTTTGTTACATAAACTGTACATTAAAGTGAGGAGAACATTTTTTGGAAAATGTCCTCAGTCCCTGCAATTCTTCCTTATCAGCCCAGCCTCCTCCCCTCTCCCCATCCCTCCCATTCAATTCCCCATTTCCACCGTTTGTCTCTCTAGCAGGGTAGGGAGGGGCTTGGGTTGCCCTGGAGGGGCTGGCCTGTGCTGGGTGAAGTTCACACCTGGCTTCGGGAAAGGAGCCTCTGGGGACAGGGTGACCATCGGAAAGGCTCAGGGCTCCCCAGTGCACCATACTGTCCTTTGTCCGAGCTCTGATTCTGTGCTTACTGTGGCCAGGTTCCCAGCTATGGAATTACAGGGTAGCAGCATGGGGACTTCCAGCTGGGTCCCTCCTAGCAGGTGGGGGTTTGAGCCAATGAAGAATTCAGTCTCCTGACATAGATCTCCCTCCAAAAGGGCATGTGTCCAGGACAGTGGCAGCAATTCCACAGCCATATCACTCACTTTATAGTTTTTTGCATTGTTTTGTTTTGTTTTGTTTTTGAGACAGGGTCTCGCTCTGTGGCCCAGGCTGGAGTGCAGTGGCGTGGTGCGATCTCAGCTCACTGCAACCTCTGCATCTCGGGCTCAGGTGAACCTCCTACCTCAGTTTCCCAAGTAGCTGGGACCACAGGTGCTCACCACCATGCCCAGCTAATTTTTCTATGTTTAGTAGAGATGGAGTTTCTCCATGTTGCCCTTTTTCTTTTTTCCACCAGTTGTCAAGTGATCCTTTATTGAAATATTTTCCTTTCTGCTTCTTAACTGGCTGGGCATTTCACAGCACCACTGTTAATGTCATCTATCATGTCATGAGGGTGGCGGCCATCAACATTACAGCCCACAGACTGGGCAGTCCCCAGGATCTCTTTAATGGTTCCAGAGAGTTCCCTGGCTAAAGATCGGTGCGACATCTGTCGAGCAATGTTGACAATCTCATCAAAAGTGATATTCCCGCCGGGCGCGGTGGCTAAGCCTGTAATCCCAGCACTTTGGGAGGCCGAGACGGGCGTATCATGAGGTCAGGAGATTGAGACCATCCTGGCTAACACAGTGAAACCCCGTCTCTACTAAAAAATACAAAAAAAAAAAAAAAAAACAAAAAACCTAGCTGGGCGAGACGGCAGGCAACTGTAGCCCCAGCTACTCAGGAGGCTGAGGCAGGAGAATGGCGTAAACCCGGGAGGTGGAGCTTGCAGTGAGCCGAGATCCGGTCACTGCACTCCAGCCTGGGCAACAGAGCAAGACTCTGTCTCAAAAAAAAAAAAAAAGTGATATTCCCACGGTGTTTAATGTTTTTCTGTTTCTTTCTGTCTGTTGATGGTTCCTTGAGGGCTTCGAAGATCGGGGCAGAGGCAGAAGGCACCACCTCAATCTGGGCCTGTCTGTTCTGAATGGTCGGTTTCACTGTAATCTTCAGGCCCTTCCAGTCATCCGTTGCCTTGGCAATGTTACCACCAACCTTTTTTGGAGACAGACCCAGGGGGCCAATCTTGGGGGCCAGCCCAGAAGTAGTACCCCGTTCACCTCCGGTGCACCTCAGGTATACGACTTTGATCTTGTTGGGGGTTGAACTTCAGCGGCATGGTGGAGGCGGCTGGTGTTGGATGAACCCGGATTCGGGACAACCGAAGAAAGTTGCACCTTGGTCTCCTTCTTCTTCTTCTTTTTTTTTTGAGACAAAGTCTTTCTCTGAGATGGAGTCTAGCTTTGTCGCCCAGGCTGGAGTGCAGTGGCATGATCTTGGCTCACTGCAACCTCCGCCTTCTGGGTTCAAGAGAGTCTCCTGTCTCAGCCTCCTGAATAGCTGGGACTACAGGCGCACGCCACAACGCCCGGCTAATTTTTGTGTTTTTAATAGAGACGAGGGTCTCACCATATTGGTCAGGCTGGTCTCAAACTCCTGACCTCAGGTGATCCACTGGCCTCAGCCTCCTAAAGTGCTGGGATTACAGGCATGAGCCACCACGCCTGGCCCAGACTGGACACTTTCTAGTTTTGCAATCTGTTTTCTCCTCTCAGCCTCACTGCAACCATGCGTGGTGGGTGGGCCGGAATGACCCTTCCCCTCTTGCAGTTCGGAGAAGTTGAAGACCCGGGTGAGCCCTGAAATAATTCATGCCCGGGCTCCCCGTTCACCGGCCCATGCTGCCCTCTAGTGGCTGTGTGCGCATCTGCCTTTAGGGACTCCAGAGCAGCCGGGACAACCAGCTGTCTGCAGACAGCAGTGGCCAGCCTTCCCAGGCTGGGCAGGGGACCCTAGGCAGGGACCGCCCCCTCAGGACCACTCCAGCACTGCATGCCTTCACCAGCTCCTCTTCCTGTCTCGCAGCATCTGGTTTAGATGCACAGATAGATGTATTATATATGTATATTTTAATTGTGCTAAAATACATATAAAATTTACCATCACAACTAACTGTACAGTTTCATGGCATTAAGTACATTCACACTATTGGGCAATCACCACCATACATCTCCAGAACTCTTTTTTTTTTTTTTTTTTTGAGATGGAATCTCACTCTGTCACCGGGGCAGGAGTGCAGTGGCCAGATCTCAGCTCACTGCAAGCTCCGCCTCCCGGGTTCCCGCCATTCTCCTGCCTCAGCCTCCCGAGTAGCTGGGACTACAGGCGCCCGCCACCAGGCCCGGCTAGTTTTTTGTATTTTTTTAGTAGAGACGGGGTTTCACCATGTTAACCAGGATGATCTCGATCTCCTGACCTCGTGATACGCCCGTCTCGGCCTCCCAAAGTGCTGGGATTACAGGCTTGAGCCACCGCGCCCAGCCTTTTTTTTTTTTTCTCTTAAGACAAGAGTCTTACTCTGTCACCCAGGCTGGAGTGCAGTGGTGCAATCTTGGCTCACGATAACCTCCGCCTCCTGGGTTCAAGTGATTCTCCCACGTCAACCTCCCAAGCAGCTTGGACTACAGGTGCCCACCACCCCACCTGGCTACTTTTTGTATTTTTAGAGAGAAAAGTTCACCGTGTTAGCCAGGCTGGTCTCGAACTCTGGCCAGCCTTTTTTTTTTTTTTTTAAAAGACAGGCTCTCACTCTGTCATCCAGGACTGGAGTGCGACTTCGATCTCCCAGGCTCAGATGACCCTCTTACCTTAACCCCTCCAGTAGCTGGAACTACAGGTGCATGCCACCATGCCTGGCTATTTTTTGTAGAGACGGCGTTTTGCCATGTTGCCCAGGCTGGTCTTGAATTCCTGGGCCCCAGCGATTCGCCTGCCTTGGCCTCCCAAAGTGCTGGGGTTACAGGCATGAGCCACTTCGCCTGGCCTGCAGAATGCTATTCTCCTTCCCAGACTGAAACTCTGCCCCCATTAAACACTAAACTCCTCATTTTTTTTTTGAGACGGAGTCTCGCTCTGTCGCCCAGGCTGAAGTGCAGTGGCCGGATCTCAGCTCACTGCAAGCTCCGCCTCCCGGGTTTACGCCATTCTCCTGTCTCAGCCTCCTGAGTAGCTGGGACTACAGGCGCCCGCCACCTCGCCCGGCTAGTTTTTTGTATTTTTTAGTAGAGACGGGGTTTCACCATGTTAGCCAGGATGGTCTCGATCTCCTGACCTAGTGGTCCGCCCGTCTCGGCCTCCCAAAGTGCTGGGATTACAGGCTTGAGCCACCGCGCCCGGCCAACTCCTCATTCTTATTTTTCCCCAGTTCCTGGAAACCTCTGTTCTACGTTGTCTTTATTAATCTGACTAGATACTCATATAAGTGGAATCATACAGTATCTGTCCTTTTGTGTCTGCCTATTTCACTTAGCACAATGTTGTCAAGGTGTATTCACATTGTGGCACGTGTTGGAATGCCATCCTTTTTTTTTTTTTTTTTTTTTTTGAGATAGTCTTGCTTTGTTGCCCAGGCTGGAGTGCAGTGGCACGATCTTGGTTCACACAACCTCCGCCTCCTGGGTTCAAGTGATTCTTCTGCCTCAGCCTCTCCAGTAGCTGGGACTACAGGCCTGCGCCACCATGCCCAGCTAATTTTTGTATTTTTAGTAGAGACGGGGTTTCACCATGTTGGCCAGGCTGGTCTTGAACTCCTGACCTCATGATCCGCCTGCCTTAGCCTCCCAAAGTGCTGGATTACAGGCGTGAGCCAGCGCTCCCGGCCTTTTTTTTTTTTTGAGATGGAGATCTTGCTCTGTCACCCAGGCTGGAATGTGGTGGCACGATCTCGGCTCACTGCAACCTCTGCCTCCCCAGTTCAAGCGATTCTCCTGCCACAGCCTCCTGAGTAGCTAGGATTATAGGCGTGCGCTACCACACCTGACTAATGGCTAATTTTTGAATTTTTAGTAGAGACAGGATTTCACCATTTTGGTCAGTCTGGTCTTGAACTCCTGACCTCAAGTGATCCGCCTGCCTCGGCCTCCCAAAGTGCTAGGATTACAGATGTGAGCCACCGCACCCAGCCTGCCATCCTTTTTAAGGTTAGAGAATCTTCCATTGTCTGGATAGACCACATCTTGTCATCCATTCTTCTGTTCATGGACACTTGTTTCCTTCCCCCTTTTGGCTATTGTGAGTAATGCTGCCATGAACATGGATGCACAAATCTCTCTTTGAATCTAGAGAATATATTTTATCTCTGCCACTGAGTGTACCCAAAGGGAAGGGAAATCATCTTTGCCCAGGGTGTTCTAATTGTGTCTACACTTGGCAGGCGCCCTCCAAGTGAGACCAGAGAAAAGGATGAAAAGAGGGATGAAGGTTGGTTGGGACGGTTGGGGTGGGAGAGGTGAACAAACACTATTGAACGCTCCCTAGAAGCATCACCTTATGGAATGATTTTTACAAGGGCAGCCCAAAAAACAGAGGCATCTCCTAGAATTTCATCCAGGTGTGTTTCTTCCAAACACACTCAAACAGAAGCATGCTAGGACATGAGGAATTACAACAAGGCCATATATATATATATGGGTTTTTTGTTGTTGTTGTTGTTTTTTGAGACAGAGTTTCGCTCTTGTTGCCCAGGCTGGAGTGCAATGACGTGATCTCGGCTCACAGCAACCTCAGCCTCCCAGGTTCAAGCGGTTCTCCTGCCTCAGCCTCCCAAGCAGCTGGGATTACAGGTGTGCACCACCACACCTGGTTAATTTTGTTTTTGGTTTTTTTTTTTTGAGACGGAGTCTCGCTCTGTAGCCCAGACTGGAATACAGTGGCGAGATCTCGGCTCACTGCAAGCTCCGCCTCCCGGGTTCATGCCATTCTCCTGCCTCAGTCTCCCGAGTAGCTGGGTCTACAGGCGCCCGCCACTACACCCAGCTAACTTTTTGTATTTTTAGTAGAGACAGTGTTTCACCATGTTAGCCAGGATGGTCTCGATCTCCTGACCTCATGATCTGCCCGCCTCGGCCTCCTAAAGTGCTGGATTACAGGCATGAGCCACGGTGCCTGGCCAAATTTTGTATTTTTTGTAGAGACAGGGTTTCTCCATGTTGGTCAGACTGGTCTCAAACTCCCAACCTCAGGTGATCCGCCCGCCTCAGCCTCCCAAAGTGCTGGGATAATAGGTGTGAGCCACCGCGCCTGGCCTAAGAAGGCTATATTTTAATGATAGGAGAAACCAAACCAAACCAAACTTGGTGACTAAGAGAAAGTGGCCCCTGAGAGCTGGAAGTTGGTCTGGCCTCGCAGCTGGGGTGTGGTGTGCTCCCAGTTCACCCACATGAGGAAAGGTCACTCTGTGACCGTGAGGAAGTGAGTCAAAGTCAAAAGGAACACCACTCAGCACTTGTCCTGAACACGCATCTCAGGGCCACCCACACAAATGAGACTGTCCCCCTAACCTGTGCCGTGCTGCGTTGCTCCCAGTCACAGCTGTAGATATAAAGGGATCGAGCCACTCAACCATACAATCACCCTGCTTTCTGACAGCACACATCCAGAGCAAACCCACACTTCCTTAAATCTTTCTCCAGATCCGATACCAGCACTAACACCGCTTCTGGAGACACCCTGGCCTCCCCGTGCTGTGCGGCCTCCCTTGCCACAGCAAGCATGATAAACCCAGCTTCCTGGTGGTCAGATTTGACTGATAGGCACCAGCGCGACCATGGAGGGAGTGACAGCTAGAGAATTTAAGGGTTCACGAGATGGAGCCAGTGACTCACGAGCTCAGCTGAAATCTCTCAGCCTGATGCTTCTCTTTCTATCACAGCAACCCTCCATGATAGATTAGAACTGTTCCCACTTGACTGGGGTGGTGACTCATGCCTGTAATCCCAGCTATTTGGGAGGCCAAGGTGGGAGGATTGCTTGAGCCCAGGAGTTTGAGATCAGCCTGAGCAACATAGTGGGACTCCATCCCTGTTTATTTATTTATTTATTTTGAGACGGAGTTTTGCTCTTGTTGCCCAGGCTGGAGTGCAATGGCGCGATCTCAGTTCACCGTAACCTCTACCTCCCAAGTACAAGAGATTCTCCTGTCCCAGCCTCTCAAGTAGCTCATATTACAGGCATGTGCCACCAGGCCCACCTAATGTTTTTGTATTTAGTAGAGATGGGGTTTCACTACGTTAGTCAGGCTGGTCGCAAACTCCTGACCTCAGGTGATCTACTCGTCTTGGCCTCCCAAAGTGCTGGGATTACAGGCATGCACCACTGTGCCCGGCCTCTATTTTTTTTTTTTTTTGAGATGGAGTCTAGCTCTGTCACCAGGCTGGAGTGCAATGGCGTGATCTCGGCTCACTGCAACCTCTACCTCTCAGATTCAAGGGATTCTCCTGCCTCAGCCTCCCGAGTAGCTGGGACTACAGGTGCGTACCACCATGCCCAGCTAATTTTTTGTATTTTTAGTAAAGACGGGGTTTCACCATGTTGGCCAGGATGGTCTTGATCTCTTGATCTGGTGATCCACCTGCCTCAGCCTTCCAAAGTGTTAAAATTACAGGCGTGAGCCACCATGCCCAGCCTCTATTTTCATAATAAACTATATGTGTGTGTGTATATATATATATGTCTTTTTGTTTGTTGTTTGTTTTTTTGAGATGGAGTCCTAGTCTATCACCCAGGCTGGAGTGCAGTGGTGCGATCTCGGCTCACTGCAACCTCTGCCGCCGAGGTTCAACCGATTCTCCTACCTCAGCCTCCCAAGTAGCTGGGATAACAGGCGTCTGCCATCATGCCTGGCTAATTTCTGTATTTTTGGTAGAGACGGGGTTTCACCATGTTGGCCAGGCTGGTCTTGAACTCCTGACCTTGTAATCTGCCTGCCTCGGCCTCCCAGAGTGTCGGGATTACAGGTGTGAGCCACTGCGCTCAGCCAATAAATACAATTTTTAAAATTGCTCCAGATAAGAACATCAAGCTGAGGGTTACTAACTTGTCCACGCTATTGAGTACAGAGATAGGTCTCAGATCTGGGTGGCCTGTCCCCAAGCCAGGGCTCTTTCAGGCCACCAACTCTCCCTCGGCCTGTGCTGACCAAGTGAGCCCAGGGGGCCGTGTGCAAGCTTGCAAAGCGACAGCAGCCTGGTTTTGTGCAGGGGGCATGCCCTCGGCGAGAGTGGTCTTCTTTATTTTTGAGACAGGGTGTCACTCTGTCACCCAGGCTGGAGCGCAGTGGCAGTGGCACAATCGCGGCTCATTGCAGCCTCGACCTCCTGGGCTCAGGTGATCCTCTTACCTCAGCCTCCCAGGTAGCTGGGACTACAGGTGCACACTACTGTGCCTGGCTCGTTTTTCTTAGAGACAGGGTTTCGCCATGTTGCCATGACTGGTCTCAAACTCCTGAACTCAAGCCATCCACCCACCTCGGCCTCCCAAAGTGCTGGCACTGCACCCAGCCTGACTGTTGATTCTTATTTTGAATCAGTCTATCACCTAGGCTGGAGTGCAGTGTTGTGATCTCGGCTCACTTCAACCTCTGCCTCCCAGGTTCAAGAGATTCTCCTGCCTCAGCCTCCCGAGTAGCTGGGACTAGAGGCATGCACCGCCATGCCCAGCCAATTTTTGTATTTTTAGTAGAGGCAGTGTTTCACCATGTTGGCCAGGCTGGTCTGAAACTCCTGGCCTCAAGTGACCGGCCCACCTCAGCTTCCCAAAGTGCTGGGATTACAGGCATTGGTCACCACGCCCAGCCTGAGTGTTCATTCTTAAAGCATTTGGCAGCTCTACTGAGGCCCCTGCAGCCAACCCCATTGGTGGTGGCCTGTGTCCAGGAGAAGCACACCGGTGAGTTGGCCAGCGCCAGCCTCTGGTGCTGGGGATGAGGCAGGGAAGGAGCCCCTCCGTCTGCTGAGCTGAGCCCCAGCACTCTTCAGACGCTCCTACCACAGCGAGCAGATGCCCAGCAAACATCTTTCTAGGGCTACCACCAAAGGCCAGCGTTCACCTGTGCGAGAGCTTATACGCAACACGGAAGAGCTTCTAACACGTATGCGTTTATTTTCATGTGTAAGAAGAAAAATGTAACTAGCACGTGAACATGACTGCATGATACATGGCTCAGCACAAGACTAAAGTCAGAAGTGAGTGAAAACAAAATAGCATGTTGATTTAAGTGAAAGAACAGAACAGGAGGTCTTTGGTTAGAACAATTGTGGAGGTGGCCTGTGAATGCAGAAGTTCAGGACTCCCTGCTATAGGCTAAGGGTGAGATGCTGCCGTCTGGGCTGAAGCCCCTGGGGTTCTACAGAGAAGCCTGCCCAGTGCAGGGCCCCTGTGGCATTCTCGTGAGAGCCTATGGGACAGCAAGACCCCAGGGAGGAAAGCACATTCTGTTTAACTTGTCCAGGTGCTACAAAATGTCTTAGAAGTGATGAAGCAACAATGATGATTCTCCTTCAAAGGGAAGAAGAATCTTCCAGGTGTGGTCTTGAGGCGGCAGGGGTTACAAGACAGGCGGGGCTGCAGGGCCCAAGTGGGACTTGAGGTCATAACCAGGGGACTGAAGGGACACCTGTCCTGGCACCATCCTGGAGAAGTGCTCGTGTGTGTGTGAGGGAGAGGGGGTGCATGGCCCAAGTCAAGGATCAAGGAGGCACACTCGGTCCCCGCACCCTGTTCGCAGCACGTACCAGGCTCTCACCCCATGCCTGCTGACACACCGTAGCACCCGGGAGGTGCCAGAAGGCAGGTGGGGGGCTGCTGACATCCCCGGGTGTCTGTAGACCACCCTTTCCTCCTGGGCCTGGGCCCTGGCCCCACTTTGGCACCACACGTTCCAGAGTGGGGAAGTCCATGGCTGTGCCCCACTGGATCCCATTCCTGTACATGTGCGAACCAAGGCGAGGTGTTTGCTATTACGCTCCCCACTAAATCCAAAGAATGTTGGTTTCCATCATTTCAACCTCAATATTTTCAGAAAGTACTTTTTTTTTTTTTTTTTGGAGACGGAGTCTCGCTGAGTCGCTCAGGCTGGAGTACAGTGGTGCCATCTCAGTTCACTGCGACCTCCGCCTCCCCAGTTCAAGCAATTCACCTGCCTCGGCCTCCCCAGTAGCTGGGATTATAGGTGCGTGCCACCACACCCAGCTAATTTTTGTATTTTTAATAAAAACAGGGTTTCCCCATATTGGCCCAGGCTGGTCTCAAACTTCTGACCTCAAGTGATCTGCCTGCTTTGGCCTTCCAAAGTGCAGGGATTACAGGCATGAGCCACCACGCCCAGTCTAAAAAGCACTTTTTTTTTTGAGACAGAGTTTCCCTCTTGTCACCCAGGCTGCAGTGCAATCTCACTGCAACCTCTGCCTCCCAGGTTCAAGAGATTCTACTGCCTCAGCTTCCCTAGTAGCTGGGATTACAGGCACCTGCTACCATGCCCAGCTAGTTTTTGTATTTTTCGTAGAGACAGGGTTTCATCATGTTGGCCAGGCTGGTCTTTCCTGATCTCAAATGATCCACCCACCTTGGCCTCCCAAAGTGCTGAGATTACAAGCGTAAGCCACCCTGCCCAGCCTATAAAAAGCCCTTTTTAAGGAACCTTGGAGTTGTTCCTCAAATAGCTCAACCCTGCAAGCCAGGCTGGTCCCAGCACCCCTACCAGACAGCTAGTCAGTGAGAAGGGTCCAACTTCCCCCAGCTTTTCCCTGGAAGTGGAGTGGGGTCAGCAGGGAATTCTGGGGGTGACGCTCATGGTCCAGGAGCCTTCTGATGCCCAGAGGGTAGAGGAGGAGTGGAAGGCCTGGGGGTACTCAGCCCCACTGTATCCTGGACAGGCTAGGCCGACTTGCAGGCTGGTCCCCACGGAGGCTCAGAAGGAAAGTGTGCAAGAGCAGGTCAGGAAGGGAAACTAAGTCAGGGAAGGGCCCCAGCCGGGGCTAGTGGTCCGTTCACTGCCCAGCAGGTACTCAGCAGCACCCTGCAGCACTCCGCTTCACGTGGCACGGCTTGCAGAAGAGACGGTTGTTCAGGGGGTAGCAGCCTTGGTCCGTGGGCTCAACAGACAGGAGGATCCTGCAGTCCTGAGGAGACAAAGACACATGTGGACCCGCCCTGGGCCTGGGCGCTGCCTGTACAGGGGAGGAACTCACTCGGTGTCTGCCAAATAAACCAACTACATGAGTGGACGTACTCCCTAAGCGGGAGGAAGGTGGATGCTCGTTGCTGCCCTCCCAACACCTGGGCCAGGTCTCCATCCGGGAAGATGAGACACAGGCACACAGGGAGGCTTTAATCCACATGGGGGCGCCGGAGAGGACATTCACCGACAGGAGAACTAAGGACACCTGAGGAAGTCCCCTGAGCGTTCAGGAAAAGCTGGGGCTAGAAGGACCTTAATAACCCATTTATTATTTTTTAAAATGTGTTTTTATTATTTATTTTGAGACAGAGTCTTGCTCTGTTGCCCAGGCTGCAGTGCAGTGGCACGATCTCAGCTCATTGCAACCTCTGCCTTCCGGGTTCAAGTGATTCTCCTGCCTCCTGAGTAGCTGGGATTACAGGCATGCGCCACCACACCCAGCTAATTTTTGTATTTTTAGTAGAGACGCAGTTTTGCCACGTTGGTCAGGCTGGTCTTGAATTCCTGACCTCAAGTGATCCGCCCACCTTGGCTTCCCATGTTGGGATTACAGGTGTGAGCCACTGCGCCCAGCCTCAACAGTCCTTTTAGAACATAAGTTCTGCGAGACAGGAACCCTGTTTATGGCCAAGTCCCCAGCCCAGCCCACCCCAGCACTGGCAGCTATGGGTATCTGCTGATGAGTGTCTGGTCCAGTCCCTTCATTTCACAGGAGGGATACCAAGGTCCAGGGAGGAGTGGGCTCTGCCCCAGGTCACACAGCTGGTTCTGGAGCTAGGACCAGACCAGCACAAACATTAATATTTTCCTTTTCTTTTTCTTTTTTTATTGAGACAGAGTCTCACTCTGTCGCCCAGGCTGGAGTGCAGTGGCGCAATCTCGGCTCACTGGGAGCTCCGCCTCCCAGGTTCACACCATTCTCCTGCCTCAGCCTCCCGAGAAACTGGGACTACAGGTGCCCGCCAGCACACCCGGCTAATTTTTTTTTAAATTTTTTTTATTTTTAGTAGAGACGGGGTTTCACCATGTTAGCCAGGATGGTCTTGATCTCCTGACCTTGTGATCCGCCCGCCTCGGCCTCCCAAAGTGTTGGGATTACAGGTGTGAGCCACCGTGCCCGGCCAACATTAATATTTTCTATTTTTCGAATCATCAAAGGATTTCAGAATGAGGAACACAGGGACTGGGACTCGGGGCCCAAACTCTACCAACATCACTGTTCTGCCCCAGAAACCTCACCTGGGCACATGCTGGAGAGTAACAGAGGGGACAATTTGTGCACAGAGACTTGGTTCTGGGCACCCTTTGGAAGCTGCATTGATCCCACAAAAGAGTCCTTACAGGGGGCCAGGCGCGGTGGCTTACCCCCATAAGCCTAGCACTTTGGGAGGCCGAGGCGGATGGATCAAGAAGTCAGGAGTTCGAGACCAGCCTGGCCAGCATGAGGAAACCCCACCTCTACGAAAAATATAAAAATTAGCTGGGCATGGTGGCGGGTGCTTGTAATCCCAGCTACTCATGAGGCTGAGGCAGGAGAATTGTTTGAACCCGGGAGGCGGAGGTTGCTGAGATCATGACATTGTACTCAAGCCTGGAAGACAGGGTGAGAGTCCGTCTCAAAAGAAAGAAAAAAAGAGTCCCTATAGGGACTACTTTGGGGTCACAGGTGGGCCTCCTGATGCAGTAGGGACCAGGGTCTGCAATCTGCCTTCCTCCATGGTCAGCTGGGTGAGGTGCTCCTATGTGTCTCCTCCCTGCAAGGCCACTTGGGTCTCTCAAGTGGACCACGGGCTACACAACTGCAGCATCTGTGCCACCTGTTTGGCATTGTAACACATGCTGGAGGGCCACATGAGACCCCTCCTAAATTAGAACCAACTGGAGAAAATACCTCATCTACCACCAAGTCTCACAACCTCTGTAAGGCAGCTGTGCGGTGGCTGAAACGTCACTGAACCCAGCCCACACAAGCACGGCTGGAACCCGTTTTCTGAGACTGTTTGCCTGTTTCCTTTTTTTTTTTTTTTTTTTTTTTTTTTAAAGATAGGGTCTCGCTCTGTCACCCAGGCTAGAGTGCAGTGGCATGATCATGGCTCACTGCAGCCTCCACCTGCCAGGCTCAAGCAATCCTCCTGCCTCAGCTTCCAAAGTAGCTGTAACTACAGAAGGGTACAACCATGCCTGGCTAATGTTTTCAAATTTTTTGTAAGATGAGGTCTTACTGTGCAGGCTGGCTTTGAACTCCTGGGCTCAAGTGATCCTCCTGCCTCAGCCTCCCAAAGTGCTGGGATCATAGGTGTGAGCCACCGCACCCCACCAGTTTCCCCATCTTAATGGGGACAATAAATCCCATCTCACAAGACTGTCACTAGGATTAAACAAGGTGATGTCAATGAAAGCATTTTATAAATTTAAAAATACTACCTACATATAAAAGCATTGTTATCCTTCCAACAATAGTCATAAATAATATGGACCCCAAAGCAAGTAGAAATGGTGAGATGTGGGTGTGGGCAGTGCATGGAAACCCACTTTCTTCTTAGGTAACAGCACTCAACTCCTTTCAGGCTGCTGTGTTTCAAGAGCCTCATTTTTTTTTTTTTTTTTTTGAGATGGAATCTTGCTCTATTGCCCAGGGTAGATGGCTAGAGTGCAGTGGCACAATCTCAGCTCACTGCAACCTCTGCCTCCTGGGTTCAAGCGATTCTCCTGCCTCAGCCTCCCAAGTAGTTGGGACTGCAGGCGTGCGCCAGCATACCCAGCTAATTTTTTTTTTGAGACGGAGTCTTACTCTGTCGTCAGTGTGGAGCACAGTGGTGCAATCTCGGCCCACTGCAACCTCTGCCTCCTGGATTCAAGCAATTCTCCTGTCTCACCTTCCCGAGTAGCTGGGATTACAGACACACACCACCACACCCAGGTAATTTTTGTATTTTTAGTAGAGATGGGGTTTCACCATGTTGGCCAGGATGGTCTCCATCTCTTGACCTCGTGATCCGCCTGCCTCAGCCTCCCAAAGTGCTGGGATTACAGGAGTGAGCCACTGCACCTGGCCTAATTTTTGTATTTTTAGTAGAAACTGGGTTTCACCATGTTGGCCAGGCTGGTCTTGAACTCCTGAATGCAAGTGATCCATCCGCCTGGGCCTCCCGAAGTGCTGGGATTACCAGCATGAGCCACCGTGCCTGGTCAAGAAGCCTCATCTTCTGACACATAACTTCTGGAGTCCAAATGCTGACTTACTACACCACCCTTGGCCACATCACCAAGACCACTGTGGGGATTTATTCACTTCCTGACTTCCTGGCTCAGGAAAGTGCCAGTCACTGCTGGACTCATTAGGACAATGGTGGGGATAACAGCATTTAAACTTCCTCATTGGGCTTTCAAAATGCACTATCAGCAGGACTTTGAACTATAACCAACAAAGACAATGTAATTACGCAGCAATTTATCAACTTCTCTACCCAGCTCCTTTGACAACCTCAGTGAAAATAGTCTTTGGGTCCCAGTATCTGTTTATATAAGTGGGAGTGAACAAGTGTTTCGAAATACTCATGGAGTAAGAGATCTGCTCTGGGGCTCTCCACTTAGGTCCCCCCCATAAAAGTTGCCACTTTGTCACCATCACCGGAGAAAACAGAAGCTTCAGTGACAAGGAGCCGGCAGTAGAAGGGGTGGGAGAGGATTTCTGAGCCTCCTCAGCAGGACTGACTACATAATTTGTAGGATCTTGGACAAAATTAAAATGTGGGACCCCTTGTTCAGAAATTAAGAATTTTGGCTGGGTGTAGTGGCTCACGCCACCCAGCACTTTGGGAGGCCAAGGTGGGCAGATCACTTGAGATCAGGAGTTTAACACCAGCCTGGTCAACATGGCGAAACCCTGTCTCTACTAAAAATACAAAAATTACCCAGGCACAGTAGTGCGAGCCTGTCATTCCAGCTACTCGGGAGGCTGAGGCAAGAGAGTTGCTTGAACCTGAGAGGCAGAGGTTGCAGTGAGCTGAGATAGTGCCACTGTACTCCAGCTTGGGGAACAAAGTGAGACTCAGTCTCTAAAAAAAAAAAAAGAAAAGAAAAAAAAAACTAAGAATTTCAGGCTGTAGGTAGTGGCTCATGCATGTGATCTCAGCACTTTGGGAGGCCAAAGTGAGAGAATCGCTTGAGCCCAGGAGTTCAAGACCAGCCTGGGCAAATTTTTGTAGAGAAGTCATCTCTATAAAAATTTAAAAAATAAAAAAATTAGCTGGGTGTGGTGGTGGGCACCTGTACTTACAGCTACTCAGGATGCTAAGGTGAGAGAACTGCTTGAGCCCAAAATTTTAAGGCTACAGTGAGCTATGATTACACTACTGCACTCCAGCCTGACTCCAGTCTCTGTCTCTATTAAAAACAAAGGCCGGGCGCAGTGGCTCACGCCTGTAATCCCAGCACTTGGGGAGGCTGAGGCGGGCGGATCACGGGGTCATGAGATTGAGACCATCCTGGCTAATACAGTGAAATCCCATCTGTACTAAAAAATACCAAAAATATTAGCCGGGTATGGTGGCAGGTGCCTGTAGTCCCAGCTACTCGGGAGGCTGAGGCAGGGGAATGGCGTGAACCCGGGAGGCGGAGCTTGCAGTGAGCCGAGATCGCGCCACTGCACTCCAGCCTGGGTGACAGAGCGAGACTCCATCTCAAAAATAAATAAATAAAAATAAAAATAAAAACAAACAAAAAAAATCAAGACTTTAAAGAGAGCAATAGCAGAACTTTAAAGCTAGCATAGGACCCGTCTGATTGCCAAGTCACGTGTGACGACACCTGGGCCCTTCTTCCTGGGACAACTGCACCAGTTTCTAATCAGCTCGCCCATCTCAGCCTGACCCCTCTCTGCAGCCTAAAGTCCAGACTCTCTAGTCTGGCACTGCAGCCCTTTCCTTCACTCTGGCCTAAACATTAACCATAACCCCAGCCCTCTACACTCCAGTCACATCTACAGACTTCCACTTCTGGCCGGGAGCAGTGGCTCATGCCTGTAATCCCAGCACTCTGGAAAAAAGCTGATTTCTACATTCTCTTGCCTGGCACCCGGAAAAGGTACGTGGTGTAGATCTGTCCAGCATCCTCTTCTCCCTTCCTCCGGTTATAGCAACCCCTCTTTTTTTATGTGGTTCTGCCTCCCTGGCCCCAGGGGTTATCAATCCTAGCACCCAGCCACAGTGACTGGCCCTGAATGGGCATGTGACCCTAGCTGGGGTGATTAGAGGCCTTCTAGAGACAGTCTGGCTTCCCTGGATGTGGTGTGCTCTGTCTTTCCCCTAGGGTTTCTAAGCCGGGGAGATGTAAACCTGGGCCACCTCTGCCCATGCACTGTGCCCCACCTCCCCACAGAGAAGGCCAGCCCACAGGCAGCAAAAATGAAGCAAACACATAAAAAAGGCAGAGCCAAGAGATGGAAAAGAGGCTGGGAGCGTTGGCTCATGCCTGTAATCCCAGCACATTGGGAGGTGGAGTGGACGGATCACCTGAGACCCACCTGGCCAACATGGTGAAACCCCATCTCTACTAAAAATACAGAAACTAGCCAGGTGCGGTGGTGCATGCCTGTAATTCTAGCTACTTGGGAGGCTGAGGCAGGAGAATTGCTGAACCCAAAAGGCGGAGGTTGCAGTGAGCTGAGATCATACCACTTCACTCCAGCCTGGCAACAAAAGTAAGACTATCTCCAAAAAAAAAAAAAATGAAAGAAAGAAAGAAAGAAAGAAAGAAAGAAAGAAAGAAAGAAAGAAAGAAAGAAAGAAAGAAAGAAAGAAAGAAAGAAAGAAAGAAAGAAAGGAAGGAAGGAAGGAAGGAAGGAAGAAAGAAAGGAAAGGAAAGGAAGGAAAGGAAGGAAAGAAAGGAAAGAAAGGAAAGAAAGGAAGAAAGGAAGAAAGAAAGAAAGAAAGATGGAGAGAGTCCTGATGCCATCACTCAATACCATCAGTGTTCCCACCACCATTAGCCAACAGATTCTCTTTTTTGTAGAAAGCAACTTGAGTTTGGTTTCTTTTTTTTTTTTTTTTTTTTTTTTTTTGAGACAGAGTCTTGCTCTGTCACCCAGGCTGGAGTGCAGTGGCGCGATCTCGGCTCACTGCAAGCTCCGCCTCCCAGGTTCATGCCATTCTCCTGCCTCAGCCTCCCGAGTAGCTGGGACTACAGGCGCCCGCCACCGCGCCCGGCTGATTTTTTTTTGTATTTTTGGTAGAGACGGGGTTTCACCGTGTTAGCCAGGATGGTCTCGATCTCCTGACCTCGTGATCCACCCGCCTCGGCCTCCCAAAGTGCTGGGATTACAGGCGTGAGCCACCGCGCCCAGCCCCGAGTTTGGTTTCTTATCATTAACGCGAAGAGTTGATAATAGACTATAGTTGTATTTCCAGCATCTTTTGTTTCTCCTACTGGACAGTGAGCAATTTGAGAGTACAGCCCCCACCCTGACCTGTCCCCATGTCCAAGCAACCCAGCCAAGGGCCTGGCAATGCAGCGATGGAATATTATTAAACCACCTGGGCTCTACTCACCTCACACCTATAGCAATTTTCATGGAAGTTTCTTCCCATGCACTCGATTTTGAAGGCATCTTTCCCATCCCGAGGAATGATGGGATTTTCACAGATGCTGCAGACGGGGGCGAATTTCCTAGAAGCAAAGAAACCCATGCTTGGGAGGCGTTCATGCCACAACCACATAAATTAATTAGCTGTCAGAACTCGGGCTGGCTGGTGTTCACCTCCTGAGCAATTTCAGTCCCGTTGCTATGGGACTGCATTAGCAGCTATAAGCAGAGATGTCTATTTCTTCCTGGCAGGAGCAGGTGGAGAGACCTGTGTAATGAGACCTGGTTTCCCAGCATCACTGGAGATTGCCTGAATTGAGAACTGTGTTCAGTGGGGCTGGGACCCATCTCATCTGTCTTTTTTTTTTTTTTTGAGACGGAGTTTTTTGGCTCTTGTCACCCAGGCTGGAGTGCAATGGCACAATCTCCGCTCACTGCAACCTCCGCCTCCCAGGTTCAAGCGATTCTCCTGCCTCAGCCTCCTGAGCAGCTGGGACTACAGGCAGGCGCTACTATGCCCAGCTAATTTTTGCATTTTGAGTAGCGACCACAGGGTTTCACCATGTTGGTCAGGCTGGTCTTGAACTCCTGACCTCGTGATCCGCCCACCTTGGCCTCCCAAAGTGCTGGGATTACAGGTGTGAGCCGCTGTGCCCAGCCAGTACTTCTTTCTTAAGAGGCACATCTGTCTCTCCCCTTGAGTGGTGAGCAACTCATGGGCAGGGATTGAGTCCAACAGATGTGTCCCCACTGCGTCATTCAGCTCCAAGGGCAGACCCAGAGGTCTGGGGTTTCAGAGCAGGGCCCGAAAGTCAGGTCCTTGGGGATGTGCATACTTACCAAGAGTTTCAATACTTACCTGTGGAGAGACTTTGGGTACTTAGCTGCTGTGTGCCTTGGTTGGTAAAACAGAACCCTTAATAGTACCTGCCTGTGACATTATATATATTTTTTAGTTTTTTGCTTTGTTTTGCTTGAGATGGAGTCTAGCTCTGTCGCCCAGGCTGGAGTGCAGTGGCACGATCTCAGCTCACTGTAAGCTCCACCTTCCGGGTTCACGCCATTCTCCTGCCTCGGCCTCCTGAGTAGCTGGGACTACAGGCGCCCGCCACCAGGCCTGGCTAATTTTTTTTGTATTGTTAGTAGAGATGGGGTTTCACCGTGTTAGCTAGGATGGTCTCAATCTCCTGAACTCGTGATCCACCCTCCTCAGTCTCCCAAAATGCTGGGATTATGGGCATGAGCACTGTGCCCGGTCCAGCCCTGTAATATTCTTTTTTTTTTTTTTTTGAGACGGAGTCTCGCTCTGTCTCCCAGGCTGGAGTGTAGTGGCCGGATCTCAGCTCACTGCAAGCTCCGCCTCCCGGGTTCACGCCATTCTCCTGCCTCAGCCTCCTGAGTAGCTGGGACTACAGGCGCCCGCCACCTCGCCCGGCTAGTTTTTTTTGTATTTTTTAGTAGAGACGGGGTTTCACCGTGTTAGCCAGGATGGTCTCGATCTCCTGACCTCGTGATCCACCCGTCTCGGCCTCCCAAAGTGCTGGGATTACAGGCTTGAGCCACCACGCCCGGCCTGTAATATTCTTTATAATAAACCAGTAGACAGGAAACTCTGGCCCAGCACCCAGGACTCAGGCTCGGCTCCTTCATCCTGCTTGGATCTCGCCCTGTCCCTGCACCCCACCTGGTGCCAAACCCCTCTCGTACCTGTAGAAGTCATCCAGGCAGTACACCTCGTTCTGGCTGCCCAGGGCAAAGCTCTCATCCCCAATGCACCGGGCGCAGGTCACACACGTGAAGCAGGAGGGGTGGAAGGCCTGGCCCAGGGCCCTGATGATGTGGTCCTGGACCACTTCGCCACACTTGCCGCACTTCTCCAACGTGTCCTGGGACAGAGGCCACTGCCAGAGTCATCCACGGCACACCCACTCCAACCCACAAGGGTCTCTTCTTCTGGGAGCCTGCCCTCGGGGGCCCAGGAATTGGGAAGTACAGGAGAGGCCTGCAGACAACCTGTAACTATCGCCCAAAACCTCCACCATTGCTTATAACAAATTGAGCTTAGCCTTGCATCCTTGGCTTACTGTAAGGAATACTGCCCTGATGCCCTGATGCTATGACTACATTTCTTGTTACTGGGATATGTTTAAGGTCAGGGTTCAAAGAGCTCATAGGAGAAACTTCGCTTAAACCTCAGGGTCAGGAAAAGGAATTCTCAGGAGAATTGGGTGCTTTTATCATATAGACAAGAAGCCTTGAAATTCTTTCCCTTTTCCATTTGGCCACTTGGAAGCTCAGAGCCAAATTCCACATTTCATATTTCGAAACCATTATAGGGCTTTTTTGTTGTTATTTGGTTTTTGTTTTGTTTTGGGACAAAGTCTCACTCTGTTACTGAGGCTGGAGTGCAGTGCCCCAATCTCAGCTCACTGCATCCTCTACATGAGGTTCAAGTGATTCTCATGCCTCAGCCTCCTGAGTAGCTGGAACTACAGGTGCATGTTACCACGCCTGGCTAATTTTTTGTATTTTTTGTAGACATGGTGTTCCACTATGTTGGCCAGGCTGGTTTCGAACTCCTGACCTCAAGTGATCGACCTGCCTTAGCCTCCCAAAGTGCTGGGATTATAGGCGTGAGCCTCCCTGTCTGGCATCCTCACACACGGTGGGTCGTAACATTCCCTTTGATCTCGTCTCACTTTCTATTTTGATTTTCCTTCTGTTTGGATGTCTTTATTTTACATATCATAGTATTATTGCAGTCTTTTACAAATTGTTTTATTGTTGGAAGAACACTTAACATGAGATCTACCTTTTTTTTTTTTTCCTGAGGCGGAGTTTCGCTCTTGTCACCCAGGTTGAAGTGCAATGGTGCAATCTTGGCTCACCACAACCTCGCCTCCTGGGTTAAAGCAAATCTCCTGCCTCAGCCTCCCAAGTAGCTGGGATTACAGACATGTACCAACACCCAGGCTAATTTTTTGTATTTTTAGTAGAGACGGGGTTTCTCCATGTTGGCCAGGCTGCTCTTGAACTCCTGACCTCAGGTGATCCGCCTGCCTCGGCCTCCCAAAGTGCTGGGATTACAGGCATGAGCCACTGTGCCCAGGCTTTTTCTTTTTTTTGAGATGGAGTCTTGCTCTGTCGCCCAGACTGGAATGCAGTGGTGCGATCTTGACTCACTGCAGCCTCCGCCTCCTGGGTTCAAGCAATTCTCCTGCCTCAGCCTCCGGAGTAGCTGGGATTACAGGCATGCACCACTGTGCCTGGCTAGTTTTTGTATTTTTAGTAGAGACAGGGTTTTTCCATTTTGGTCAGGCTGGTCTCGAACTCCTAACCTCAGGTGATCTGCCTGCCTCGGCCTGGCATGAGCCACGGCACCCAGCCAGTTAATATAATTTTATATGACGCCTTTAAGAAGAAATGTGCCAGGCAAGGTGGCTTATGCCTGTAATCCCTGGACTTTGGGAGGCCAAGGCAGGTGGATCTCCTGAGGTCAGGAGTTCCAGACAAGCCTGGCCAATCCAACATGGTGAAAACCCCTGTCTCTACTAAAAATACAAAAAACAAAAAAACAAAAAAAACCAACCAACCAACAAACAAAAAAACCAGCTGGGCATGGTGGTAGGCACCTGTAATCCCAGCTACTTGGGAAGCTGAGGCGGGAGAATCACGTGGAATTTTTCAGTGCACCTATATCATTGCGGTCTATAGGTATACATGCATTCTCTTTAAAAACACGTTTTAATAAAAAATAACTATTTTAAAATAGAGGTGGAGTCTTGCCATGTTGTCCAGGCTGGTCTCGAACTCCTGACCTCAAGTAATCCTCCCACCTCAGCCTCCTGAAGTGCTGAGATTGCAGGTGTGAGCCACCGCGCCTGGCTGGTATATATGCATTCATAGAAGCTGCCTCAAATTCCTCCTGGAATAAGGAGCAATGATAAAGAGATACCTGAGGCAGGGCAGCGGGCCTCCCTCTAGCCTTTCCACCTTTTCTCCTGGACATGCTGTCTCTCCTTCCTGGCTGTGCTCCTGTGCATTTTACCTTGACGCCACCTGGACAGATGTAGGGGCATCTCCCACTCCCACCCTCCCTCTCATGGGCACGGCCCTTCTCTCCCCAGCACACTGATCAAGTCTTCCTCTTGGCTGCTTTCAGCTAGACACCCCTCCTCACCCCTCCTCCCCCAGTGTCTCACCCCTGAGGGACACTCCCCCATCATATTGATGGGGTCACAGGGACACGGCAGGGAGGGCCTGGCTCCTCTCTCCTCCCACAGTGCCTCACTGGTGGTGAGCCTGGGATTGGATTGTTTGGATTCTTCCGGACAGTCTCAGCTCCAAATACTCTAACCCCTCAAATCAGCCGTTTTCAAACTTCTATATGCATGAGAATCACCTGAGACACTTGCTCAAAATGCTGATTTCCAGGTGTGGCCTACACACATACCCAGGGGATGTGGCTGTGGGTGGTCGCCACCCTTGACATGCCACCACAAACCATCCAAGAGTTAGAAATTCCAGTATGCTGGCATCCCAACTGGCTCTCCCAGATGGCACTTGGTACCCGGAAGCAACACAGATTCCGTGAGATCAAACATTGGAACCTTGTGGCTCTAGGGGAGATGGTGGCAAGACTGATGGCAGCCTCCAGAGCCACATGGGTGTGGAGTAGAATCCCAGCTGCTTGGCCATCTTATGTGACCTCGTGTAGTAGCTAAGAGATGCCCCCAAAGATATTCAGGTCCTTATCTCTGGACCCCGTGAACGTTACCTTGCCCGGAAAAAGAGGCTTTCAGATGGGATAAGTTAAGGATCTTTTTTTTTTTTGAGATGGAGTCTCACTCTGTCCCCCAGGCTGGAGTGCAGTGGCACGATCTCGGCTCACTACAACCTCCACCTCCCGGGTTCACGCCATTCTCCTGCCTCAGCCTCCCGAGTAGCTGGGACTACAGGCGCCCGCCACCACGCCCAGTTAATTTTTTATATTTTTAGTAGAGATGGGGTTTCACCATGGTCTCGATCTCCTGACCTCGTGATCCCCGTCTCGGCCTCCCAAAGTGCTGGGATTATAGGCGTGAGCCACTGCGCCCAGCCAAGTTAAGGATCTTAAGATGGGGGAGATTATCCTGATTATCCAGGTGAGTCCTAAATGCTATCACAGTGTCCCTGTAACTTGACACAGAGGTGGCAATAGGGCCGCTGAAGCGGGATGCTACACTGCTGGCTTTGATGGCAGAGGAAGGAGTCAAGAAGAATGCAGCTTCAGAAACTGCAAAAGGGGCCGAGTGCAGTGGCTCACACCTGTAATCCCAGCAGTTTGGGAGGCTGAGAGGGTGGATCCCTTGAAGTCAGGAGTTTGAGACCAGCCTGGCCAAAGTGGTAAAACCCCATCTCTACTAAAAATACAAAAATTAGTCGGGCACGGTGGCAGGCACCTGTAGTCCCAGCTACTCGGGAGGCTGAGACATGGGAATCGCTTGAACCTGGGATGCAGAGGTTACAGTGATCCGAGATTGCACGACTGCACTCCAGTCTGGATGACAGAATGAGTCTCTATCTCAAAAAAAAAAAAAAAAAAGAGGCTGGGTGCAGTGGCTCAGGCCTGTAATCCCAGCACTTTGGGAGGCCAAGGCCGGTGGATCACGACGTCAGGAATTCAAGACCAGCCTGGCCAAGATGGTGAAACCCCATCTCTATGAAAAATACAAAAATTAGCCAGGTGCGGTGGCAGGTGCCTGTAATCCCAGCTACTCAGGAGGCCGAGGCAGAAGAATCCCTTGAACCTGGGTGGCAGAGGTTGCAGTGAGACGAGATCATGCTACTGCACTCCAGCCTAGGCGATAGAGTGAGACTCCGTCCCCCACCCCAAAAAAGAACTAAAAAAAAAGAAATTGCAAAAGGCAGAGATGTGGGTTCTCCCTCAAGCCTGCAGACAGCACAACACCTTGGTTTTGGCCCAGTGAAGCTGATATTGGACTTCTGACCTCCAGAACCGGGATAGAATAAACGTGTATTGTTGGAAGTCACCAAGGTTGTGATCTCTTAAAGGCAGCCCTAGGAAACTAATCGCCTTCACTGGGCTCCCTCTTTCTGAGCCTCAGTTTCCTCATCTGTGAAAGGGGTCAATAGTGCCTACTTCCCAGGATTGTATGGGGAATGAAATGATATAACATATTCTAAGTGCTCAGCTCAGTGCCTGGCACCCAGAGGTCTGCTGTAGGGGTTACCTGGTAGCAGGGTTCGCAGAGGGGTCGCCCATCCTTCTGGTAGAAGCTCTGTCCAGCCAGCTGGCGGCGGCAGGTGCGGCATGTAAAGCACTGGGCATGGTACTGCCTTTTCATGGCCTCCACAGCCAGCTCTCGGGGGGACACGGTCTTGTGGCAGAAGGCACAGATGTCTGGGGTAAGGAAGACACAGGCCATTACTAGCCCAGCCTGCGAGGACTGTACCCAGGCACCACCCAGAACATGCCCAGGGTACCTGAGGCTCTGTCTCAAACCCTGTAAATTCCTCAAATGACAAATACAGAGGGTTATGAGGAGCATTAAAAAGGAATCTGAGTCAGGTGTGGTGGCTCATGCCTGTAATGCCAGCACTTTGGGAGGCCAAGGTGAGCGGATCACTTGAGGCCAGGAGTTCTAGACCAGCCTAGCCAACATGGTGAAATCCCATCTCTACTAAAAATACAAAAATTAGCTGGGCGTAGTGGCATGCCCCTGTAGTCCCAGCTACTCATGGGGCTGAGGCAGGAGACTCACTTGAACCTAGGAGGTGGAGGTTGCAGTGAGCCGAGATCGTGCCACTGCACTCCAGTCTGGGTGACAGAGCGAGACTCTATTTCAGAAAAAAACAACAACAAAAAAGGAATTCTGGACAGCAGTTTCAGGACAAAGGGATTGTTGGCTGCCTTGACCTCCCAAAGTGCTGGGATTACAGGCATGAGCCACTATGCCCAGCCAGGAGCCACTTTATTTTATTTTATTTATTTGTTTTTGAGACGGAGGCTCACTCTGTCACCCAGGCTGGAGTGCAGTGGCACAATCTCGGCTCACTGCAACCTCTGCCTCCCGGGTTCAAGCAGTTCTCCTGCCTTGGCCTCCCAAGTGGCTGAGATTACAGGCACACACCACCACGCCCAGCTAATTTTCATATTTTTAGTAGAGACAGCGTTTCACCATGTTGGCCAGGCAGGTCTTGAACTCCTGACCTCAGGTAATCCACCTGCCTCAGCCTCCCAAAGTGCTGGGATTATAGGTGTGAGCCACCACGCCCGGCCAAGAGCCACTTTATATTCTGATATGTGACCAGCTCTGAGACGTACGAAGGAAAGAAAGTGAACAGCAGAAGGGCCTAGTTTGCTGCTTATGGAAAAATGGGGGGAGGGAGTGGGTAGACACATATTTGTATTTGCTCGTATGTGCACAGTGTCTTTGGCAGGATACATGAGAGCTCAATGACAGAGGACGCCCATCGGGAAGGAAACCGGGTGGTAAGGGGATGGGGCAGGTTGCAGGCTTCTCACTGTGTCCCCACTCGTGCTGTTTATTTTGCACCGTGTGAGGGCATTAGGTATTCAGAAAATAAAATAATGAGACAAAATTTCAAGACATTTTTGTTATCGTAGCAAACTGTGCAGACTAACATTTTAAATAGAATTTAGGTATAAAGGGGAAAAGGCTAAGGCAACACAAATTACATGGATGCCCACCTACAAAGTCCATCATTATAACATGAGCTGGGGTGGGGATGGGAAGGGGCGTCCTCACTCTCCTGGTTTCAACCTGGAAGCCCATGCTGGCCCCATGAGATGCCCCCAGAATCCTCCCAGCCCCGTGCACCCACCTGTGGACGCCTCTTTCTCAACAGGTTCTGCTGGGGGAGGTGGCAGCTCTTCCTCCACGGGCCTGAGGGGACCAGGCTGGACTGAAGGTCCCTCCGCTGGGGCCTGTGGGGATGCAGACAGGGAGTCACCCAGTGGGGACCCCAGGCAACCCTCCCAGCTCTGCTCCTCTTCTGGGTGGCAACGGGTGCAATTAGCCACATTGCACTGAGAAGGAAACCGAGGCCCAGGGAAGCAAGGGACCTGCCTAAGTCTCTCAGCAGGAAGGTTGTAGTGGCAGCTGACTTGGGGTCCCTTGATCAGCCACTGCTCCTCATCCTACTTAGGACTTTTCTGCAACCAGGCTTCCCCGTGGATGCTGGACTGAAGTGGACTAAGCCCTTGGCCTGTGATGCCCCCCATTTCTACACAACCTCTGTTAAGGGCCCAGGGTTAAAAAAACAGGTTCCTGGCCAGGCGCAGTGGCTCACACCTGTAATTCCAGCACTTTGGGAGGCCCAGCTGGGTGGATCACCTGAGGTGAGTAGTTCGAGACCAGCCTGACCAACATGGTGAAACCCCACCTCTACAAAAAGTACAAAAATTAGCCAGGCATGGTGCGGGTGCCTGTAATTCCAGCTACTCAGGAAGCTGTGGCAGGAGAATCACCTTGAACCTGGGAAGCGGAGGCTGCAGTGAGCCAAGATCATGCCACTGCACTCCAGCCTGGGCGACAGAGCGAGACTCCATCTCAAAACCAACCAACCAAACAAAAACCAAATTTCCTGTGCAGCCTAAGGGATTTACGTCAGACTCAGGAAAATGTCTTCCTCAGAGCTGAAGCGTGTGTCTGCGGCGGGTGGAGCGGGGAGGCAGTGGCAGCCCTCTCCAGGGACCATGAAACGCTTAACCAATTTTTACCTGCTGAATAGGGACTTCTGAGAGCTTCAAAGACAGACTGCCCTCGAGCAGAAGAATGCACCAGACAAAGTCCAGGTTTAGAACCCCTGAATGCCCAGACTCCCCGTCCCTCAACCCAGGAGACCAAGGGATTTGCTGGGGAGGGCAGTACCTGTGGTGGGGGCGGGGGCGGGGGTGGGGACAGGTGCAGCTGCTGTAAGTCTGCAATGAGTGAGGTCCCCATTGGAGCAGGAGCCTCCTCTTCAGAAGGTAGGAGCACCGGAGGGGGCGGTGGAGGGGGCGGGAGGAGGTCCAGGTCAGGAAGCACATCCTCACCATCCAGGACAGGAGGAGGGGGTGGGCATCCTGCAATGGGGGAGGAGAGAGGGCTGGTCAGAGCCTCCCAGGTGGACCGGGGAGGGTTTTACTTACCCACATGGGCACCGGGAGGGTAGCCGAGGGCTCGGGTTGGGGTCACCCCGGCCTGGGTTCCATCTCTAACTCTGCCACTGATTTGCTGTGTGTCCTTAGGCAAGAAACTTAATCTTAGGCCAGGAATGGTGGCTCATGCCTATAACCTCAGCACTTTGGGAGGCCGAGGTAGGCACTTTGCTTGAACCCAGAAGTTCAAGAGCAGCCTGGGCAACATAGTGAAACCTCAACTCTACTAAAAATAAAAAAAAAAAATGTAGCCAGACATGGCGGCATAGGCCTATCATCCCAGCTACTTGGGAGGCTGACATGGGAGGATCACTTAAGCCCAAGAGGTTGAGGCTGCAGTGAGCTTAGATCACACCACTGCACTTCAGCCTGGGAGACAGAGCCAGACCCTGTCTCAAAAAAAAAAAAAAAAAAAAAAAAAAAAGGCCAGGTGCAGTGGCTCATGCCTGTAATCCCAGCACTTTGCGGGGCTGAGGCAGGCGGATCACCTGAGGTTGGAAGTTTGAGACCAGCCTGACCAACATGGAGAAACCCCGCGTCTACTAAAAATACAAAATTAGCAGGGTGTGGTGGCGCATGCCTATAATCCCAGCTACCGAGGAGGCTGAGGCAGGAGATTCGCTTGAACCCAGGAGGCAGAGGTTGCCGTGAGCTGAGATTGCACCACTGCACTCCAGCCTGGGCAACAAGAGCAAAACACCATCTTAAAAAAAAAAAAAAAATTAGGCTGGGTGTGGTGGCTCACGCCTATAATCCCACCACTTTGGGAGGCTGAGGCGGGCAGATCACCTGAGGCCAGGAGTTTGAGACCAGCCTGGCAACCATGGTGAAACCCCATCTCTACTAAAAACGCAAAAATTAGCTGGGTGTGGTGGTGGGCGCCTGTAGTCCCAGCTACTCAGGAGGCTGAGATAGAAGAATGGCGTGAACCCGGAAGGCGGAACTTGCAGTGAGCCGAGATCACGCCACTGCACTCCTGCCTGGGCGACAGAGCGAGACTTTGTCTCAAAATATACATATATATATACACACACACAAAAATTAGCTAGGCTTGGTGGTGAGAGTTTGCAGTCCCAGCTCCTTGGGATGCTGAGGTGGGAGGATTGCTTGAGCGAGGGAGGTTGAGGGTACAGTGAGCTGTGATCATGCCACTGCACTGCACTCCAGCTTGGGTGACAGAACAAGATCCTATCTTGGAAAAAATAAAAAAAGAAATGCAAATTTTGGGGCCCCACGGCAGATCTGCTGAATCAAGAAATACCTGGGGCGGGACCCAGCAGCTGTGCTGGAACGGACGGTGGCTGTGTTGGTACAGGCCCGGGTGACGCTGCTGCTGACTCAGCGGAAGTGTGAGAACCAGACCCCGATGAGCTCACGGAGTCAGGAACCAGGTGTTGGAGAGGTAGTGTAAGAGTGCTGTGGCCTCTCCCAGTGCCTGCCTCCCGGTGCAGGGCCCACAGGCTGTGATGGGCGGGCAGGAATTCAAGGGAGAAGCAGGGGGACCTGAGGCCCCAGGGCAGGTGGGAAGAAAGGGGGTCCCAGACCTGCTCGAGGATGACTCTGAGAGGACATGCACTAGGCAGACAGCAGATGGCAGGCAGCCTTCGGTGTAGACGGTTTCAAGCAGCTGGCAGCATCCCCAGGGCCTGGGGCCAGCCTTTGTGTCAGACCAGGCACATGACCAAGCTGGTCACCTAAAACTTACCTCACTTCAGGGAGACTGAACCCCAAGATCCCTGTGCTCTGTTTGAGGGTATCAAATTGGCAGACGAAACGGCCGGCCAGCCATGCTGACCAGTGACAGGCCAGTCCTTCCCAGGCAAGTTTGATCTTGTTCCCACACTCCCAAGATCCTCTTCCCATAATCCAACAACCATGAAAATGCCCCGGAAATGCCAGGCGCCACTGCACTCCAGCCTGGGCAACAAGACCAAAACGCCATCTAAAAAAAAAAAAAAAACTTAGTCTGGGTGTGGTGGCTCACGCCTGTCATCCCAGCACTTTCGGAGGCCGAGGCAGACGGATCACGAGGTCAGGAGGTCGAGACCATCCTGGCTAACACGGTAAAACCCCGTCTCTACAAAAAATACAAAAATTAGCTGGGTGTGTTGGTGGGCACCTGTAGTCCCAGCTACTGAGGAGGCTGAGACAGGAGAATGGCGTGATCCCGGGAGGCGAAGCTTGCAGTGAGCCGAGATCGTACCACTATACTCCAGCCTGGGCAACAGAGTGAGACTCTGTCTCAAAAAAAAAAAAAAAAAAAAAAAAAAAAGAGAAAAGAAAAGAAAAAAAGAAAATGTCCCAGAAATTCTGACATCTAGTCTTATTATTTCCCAGACTTCCTTGCCCACCCAGAAGGGGCACATATTTTTGTTTCCAGTTGGATCCTATGTCCTGATGTGTGAATTTTGTCAAGATGGCCCTCCTATACATCGAGGTAGCTGGGAGGAGCCTGTGTTCTTGGGATGCGAGATTAGGAAGGAAAGATCAACGTGGGAGTATCCGTCACAAGGAGGAAGCACGTTCCAGAAACATATGCGCACTCAAACCCACGTGGCCCCTTGTCTTGACCCCTTTCTGGCTTCCTGTAATCAGCACTTCCAACTGATCGCTAGCTGATTTCTATGACAGACAGGGCTGCCCCAGCCCTGCTCAAGGACAGCAAGACACCTGACTAGGCACCTGGAAGACTCCAGGGACTGCTACCCTGGGCTGGCCTCTTCCCTTTAGCATCTCAGCTGGTACCCTGTCAGATGATGACCCACCCCCTGCCCCAGGGCCCTGGGCTGTCACCCTTCCTCACTCCTGCCCCGCCCGACAGCTGAGACTTTCCACAGGAGACACAGGGAAGAGGACTGGAAGGTTCCCTGTCACCATGGCAACGGGGCCAGTCCGACCAGGCCCAAGGGAATGGAACACTCATTAGTGCTGTGTTCATTTTGTGACTGATGGTCACATCCACACACACATTTCCACTTTCCAGAAGAGGACCCTGAGGCCCAGAGCAAGGAGAAGGCTCACTCCGCTCATACAGCAAGAGAACAGCAAAGCCCAGGAGAAAACAAAGGCACTTTAAAAGACCCTTTACCCACCAAATTCCCTCCTGCCTCAGGGCCTCTGCACCGCCCCTCAGACTTCACCTCCCCCTGGCCAGCTCCATGCTGACATTCAGGTTTCAGCTGAAATGTCACCTCTTCAGAGAAGCCATCCTGAGCACCCTATGAAAAGCTGCCCCTCGGCGAGGCACAGTGGCTCACACCTGTAATCCTGGCACCTTGGGAGGTCGAGGCGGGCAGATCACCTGAGGTCAGGTGTTCGAGACCAGCCTGAACAACATGGCAAAACCCTGTCTCTACTAAAAATACAAAAATTAGCCAGGCATCGTGGTGCATGCCTGTAATCCCAGCTACTCAGGAGGCTGAGGCTGAGGCAGGAGAATGGCTTGAACCTGGGAGGTAGAAGTTGCAGTGAGCTGAGATTGCACCACTGCACTCCAGCCTGGTGACCGAGTGAGACTCTGTTTCAAAACAAACAAAAAAGCTGCCCCTCCTCACCCCTCCACCATGCTTCACTCCATGAGAGCGCATGTGTCTGCCCGACATCAGACATCGTATCTTCATTATGTGTGCTCCCTACACTGGGATGGAAGCTTCGTGCAGGCTCAAAACCTTATGTCTCAGCACTTTCCGTGTGACATGGACAAGGCTAAACACTCTACATGCGTATTAACTCATTTAATCCTCATAACCACATTCCGAGGGAGGTACTATCTTTATCCCTGTTTTACAGATTAGGAAACTGAGGCACGAGAGGTTAAGTGGCCCGCCAACATCACCCAGCTGAGAAATGGAGAAGCCAGGGTTCACACCCAGGCAACTGGGTTCCAGAATCTGCCTGGCACTTAGTAGGCACTGAATGAACGAACAAATGAATGAATGAATGATGCTGGAGCCCGCCCCTTCCTCCCCACCTCTGCCTCTGACCTGGTCTTCCCCAAAGTCCCTTCTGCTCTTACCTCCATTGGAAAGCTGCAGAGGTGCAGCTGGCACTGTGGTTGCAGCCTTGCCAGGGGGTGTCCAGGGGCTGGGCCTCCTCGCCAAGCCAGCCTCGGGTGTCTTCACTGGGGCAGGAGGCGCCCAGGGGCGGCCACGCCGGGCCTCACAAACCGCCTGCCTCACTTCCTCCACCACAGCCACATCGCGGCGCGGGGGTGCCAGGGTGATAAAGACAGACGATGCCACCCTCTTCTCAGGCTTTGAGGCCATGGCTTCAGCTCCTGGTGTGGCTAGGGACAGAGTGGGGCATGGCACGGGATTGCCACCTGGACACACAGACACCCTCCCCCGAGAGGCAGAGAGCCTCCCTCCTCCCAAAAAGACAGGTCAGCCACCCTACCCCCCCAACAACTCAGTCCAGCACCCAGCCCAGCCAGAGAGGGGGTGGGGGTGTCCTGCTAGGGAAGACAGGGCCCACCAGGGGACTTGGCCACGGGGTGAGACCCGGAAGTCCTGACTGCCCCTCGCCCGAACCTGCACACCTAGGGAAGCAAAGGGCGGCCCTCACCAATGATCACTTTTCCTCGTCTAACACCTGTGAGAAAGGAACAGCTCCTTCAGCTCCCAGCCCCAGCAGGGCTGACTTCTGTTCCCAGCCTGGAGTCCCGCCTGCCTGCTGGGCCACACCCCAAGTGACCTCCCTCACCTGGGATCAGATTCTCCTGGAAGGGCTGAAGTCCTGGAGGCTCAGGCTAGCTCCACTTTGGAAGGGAAAGAGAACAGATCAGGATCTGTCAGGGCGTCAGGGCTGGGCTCCAGTGGCGGAGTGGGCGGGGGCAGTGAGAGCTGCCCTGAGCACATTATCCTCATTAACTCATAAACACAAGGTGGCTGTGGGGCAAGCACTATCACCACCTACCTAACACATCAAGCAATTGAGACTCAGAGAGAAGTCACCTGTCCAGGGTCACACAATGGTGAGGTAGCATTGGAACCCAGAGCCCAGGCTCTGGGCCACTTTGCTCTGCTTTGCCCTTTCCCAGCCCTGCACACGAGCCAGCACCCTCCTTGCTTGCTTTCTAGTACTGGAATCTCTCACTCCACCCAATCTCCAAAACCCGGGTCCTGGTTCAGGCCTGGGCAGTGGGCAGGGGGCAAGGGCAGAGATGGGGAGGTTCCATGGCCTCTGGTCTCACCTCCTAACCCTGATCTTTCTAGAGCATCAGTCTCTTTTTCCTTTACTCAAAAGCCTTCCATGGGCTGGGCATGGTGGCTCACAGCTGTAATCCCAGCATTTTGGGAGGCTGAGGCAGGTGGATCACTTGAGGTCAGGAGTTCGAGACCACCCTGACCAACATGGTGAACCCACCTCTACTAAAAATACAAAAATTAGCCATGCGTGATGGTGGGCACCTGTAATCCCAGCTACTTGAGAGGGTGAGGCTTGCTTGAACCTGGGAGGCCGAGGTTGCGGTGAGCCGAGATTGCAACACTGCACTCCAGCCTGGGCAACAGAGCGAGACCCTGTCTTAGAAAAAAAAAAAAAAAAAATGCCGGGCGCGGTGGCTCACGCCTGTAATCCCAGCACTTTGGGAGGCCGAGGCGGGCGGATCACAAGGTCAGGAGATCGAGACCACGGTGAAACCCCGTCTCTACTAAAAATACAAAAAAAAATGAGCCGGGCGCAGTGGCGGGCGCCTGTAGTCCCAGCTACTCGGGAGGCTGGGGCAGGAGAATGGCGTGAACCCAGGAGGCAGAGCTTGCAGTGAGCCAGGATCGCGCCACTGCACTCCAGCTTGGGCGACAGAGCAAGACTCCGTCTCAAAAAAAAAAAAAAAAAAAAAAGAAAAAAAAAAAAAGGTGGGAAGTGGTGGCTCATACCTGTAATCCCAGCACTTTGGGAGGCTGAGGCAGGTGGATCACCTGAGATCTAGAGTTCGAGACCAGCCTGGCCAACATGGTTAAACCCCATCTCTACTAAAAATACAAAAATCAGCCGGGTGTACTGGCGGGCGCCTGTAATCCCAGCTATTTGGGAGGCTGAGGCAGGAGAATCACTTGAACCCGTGGGGGTGGAGGCTGCAGTGAGCTGAAATGGCACCATTGCACTCGAGCCTGGGCAACAAGAGCGAAACTCTGTCCGAAAAAAAAAAAAAAAAAAAATGCATGGCTCTCCACCACCTCAGGATGAAGTCCAACTGCGGCGGCCTCAGCCTCTTTGAGCCCCTGGACCACTTGCCCTTCCTATGTCCTCTCTCTTGCCTTGCAGTGTTTCTCCTCTGGTTTTCCTCTCCTGCCCCCATAGGGTGAATTTCAGCTTTCTCTTAGAGGCCCAGCTCAAACATCACCTCGTCCACAAGGCGCCCCCTGATTCCTGGCCCTCTCCAAGGGCGGTTTCCTGCTGCCAAGGGTGGAAGAAAGTGATGACAGCCCCAGGGCAGGACAGGCTGGCTCACAAGCTCACTATCAAGGCGTCTGACCTTCAGCGGTGTCTGCATTCTTTGTGTGTCTAGAGGATAGCTCAGAGTGCAGGCATCAAAGCACAGATCCAGCTGGGTCGGTGGCTCACACCTGTGATCATAGCACTTTGGGAGGTGGGCGATCACTTGAGGTCAGGAGTTTAAGACCATCCTGGCCAACACGGTGAAACACTGTCTCTACTAAAAATACAAAAATTTGGCCAGGTGTGGTGGCTCATGCCTGTAATCCCAGCATTTTGGGAGGGCAAGGTGGATGGATCACGAGGTAAGGAGTTCAAGACCACCCTGGCCAAGATGGTGAAACCCTGTCTCTACTAAAAATACAAACATTAGCTGGGCATGGTGGCGGGCGCCTGTAATTTCAGCTACTCGGGAGGCTGAGTCAGAGAATTGCTCAAACCCGGGGGGCAGAGGTTGCAGTGAGCCGAGATTGCACCACTGCACTCCAGCCTTGGCCACTGAGCAAGACTCTGTCTCAAAAAAAAAAAAAAAAAAAAAGAACAAAGCTTAGAAGCGGCCCCAGAGGTTTTTTTTTTTTTTGGAGTAGGGAATAAGGAGTAGGAAGGAGGACTGTGGGGGTGGCCCCCCTGAGCTGCACATTCACTGCCCCAAGGCTGCAGCCTCTAGCTGGTCTGGGTGGCTGGCTGGATCCCTGCCTCCTTCCTTCCTTTGGACAGGAAATGACTTTCCCTCCCTTTGTTCCCACTTTTCTCCACTTATCTAATTGGATCTGTGATTCACTCTGTGGGCCGGGGGTGGGGGTGGAGGGGGAATTAGCCACGTGTGGTGGCATGCACCTGTAGTCCCAGCTACTTAGGAGGCTGAGGCAGGAGAATCAGTTGAATCCTGGGAGGTGGAGGTTGCAGTGAGCTGAGATTGAGCCACTGCACTCCAGCCTGGGTGACAGTGTGAGAGTCTCTTTCAAAAAAAAAAAAAAAAAAAAAAACATCAGAGAGCATGGTGGCACCCTGATACCCTGATGTCAGGAAAAGGACATTATTTCCCATCTCTCAGGTAGTTCCTGCTGACAGGAGCCTCTCTGGCCAAGGCTGAGGTGGGGCCACAGGTGGGAAAGCTGGGCGTCCAGTGAGCCCACCAGATCTCACCAGGCACCCAATGCCTGTACCCAGGGCTAAACATGTCTCCTTTTCTATCTTACTCTTCAGGTTTCCCTGCTTATCTCAAAGTGCACTGGCCACTTTGGGTTCTCAGCCAGTGATGGGTGATAATAAAAACAGTAACACGTGCTCCTAAATTCCTGTTAAGTTGGTTTATGTGTTTGGCTAAAATATATAGCTCAGTCTGATAATAAAATATCTATTCTGAGTAAGAAACCAATATATTAGGAAAGAGCTTCAAAACTTATTTAAAAGTACTTCTCTTTTGCTTCCGGGTTTGGAAATGATGTCTGGAAGTATGTATGTTTACGCTGGCTGTCTCAAGCTTTAGTTTTATACTTTGTTATAAGTTTAAGAATCTATTTTTGTCAGCCAGGCACGGTGGCTCATGCCTGTAATTCCAGCACTTTGGGAGGCTGAAGCAGGCGCATCATGAGGTCAGGAGATCGAGACCATCCTTGCAAACACGGTGAAACCCCGTCTCTACTAAAAAATACAAAAAAAAATTAGCCAGGCTTGATGGCAGGTGCCTGTAGTCCCAGCTACTTGGGAGGCTGAGGCAGGAGAGTGGCATGAACCCGAGCTTGCAGTGAGCCGAGTTCGTGCCACTGCACTCCAGCCTGAGCAACAGAGCGAGACTCCCTCTCAAAAAAAAAAAAAAAAAAAAAAGAATCGGCCTGGGGCGGTGGCTCAAGCCTGTAATCCCAGCACTTTGGGAGGCTGAGACGGGTGGATCACGAGGTCAGGAGATCGAGACCATCCTGGCTAACATGGTGAAACCCCGTCTCTACTAAGAAATACAAAAAAACTAGCTGGGCAAGGTGGGGGGTACCTGTAGTCCCAGCTACTTGGGAGGCTGAGGCAGGAGAATGGTGTAAACCCGGGAGGCGAAGCTTGCAGTGAGCTGAGATCCGGCCACTGCACTCCAGCCTGGGCAACACAGCGAGACTCTGTCTCAAAAAAAAAAAAAAAAGAATCTATTTATGTATTTTTGTTAACAATGTTCAGAGTGCGTGCATGTGAGATTTAAAGAAATACCAAACAACTCACTGATAAGGCACTTATCTCGTGCCAGGCCCTGTGCCAAGTGCTATATGTGCCTCAAAACTCACCAGCCTCTCAATCTAGCTGCAAGAAAGGCCCATCCTGCCCCCACTTCGTAGATGGACCCTATGAGGTTCCAAGAGGTTAAGTGACTTTCCCAGGCCATCCATGGCACTCAGAATTCTAATGGAACATCATCCAAAAGTCCCCAGACACACTTTTCCTTCCTTGGGTGGCACAAGGTCGCCCAAGTTCCCAGGCCTGTTCTCACTCTAGAGTGGCCCAATCCAGACCAGAAATCTTGTGGTCGGCAAGTTCCAGGCTAGTCCCTAGGGGCTGCTGTGGGCCTTCGGGATGGCCCTCCGCCTCCTCCCACCCAGCCCTGACCCTTCCTCCACTCCTCCAGGAAGTCGGATCTGCCTGGTTTCTCGGAAAATGTCCAGCACTGAGGCCAGATGTTCACAGCTGGGCAGCCCCCATACCTCCCAAGAAGTGACTGTAGGGACCTCAGGCCCCAGGGGGACTAAGCTGGGGAGTTTCAAAGCCCTGTCAATCCCATCAGGAAAGGGAGCCCCGGCTTCCCCCCGGTCCCACTGCCCCCCATTCAGCTGGGAGCAGGCTGTAAGTTCCCCAGGGCAGTGTCCCAGTCAGTCGCGCCCAGGGGACCCTCCGCCCCCACTCTTCCTCCCCCAGAGAGCGAATCACAGATCCAGTTAGATAAGTGGAGAAAAGTGGGAACAAAGGGAGGGAAAGTCATTTCCTGTCCAAAGGAAGGAAGGAGGCAGGGATCCAGCCTGCCACCCAGCCCAGCTAGAGGCTGCAGCCTAGGGGCAGAGGATGTGCAGCTCAGGGGGGCCACCCCCACAGTCCTCCTTCCTACTCCTTATTCCCTACTCGAGAAAGAAAGAAAAAAAAAAAAACCTCTGTAGCCACCTCTAAGTTTTGTTCTTTTTTTTTTTTTTTGAGACAGAGTCTTGCTCAGTGGCCAAGGCTGGAGTGCAGTGGTGCAATCTCGGCTCACTGAAACCTCCGCCTCCCAGGTTCAAGCGATTCTCCTGCTTCAGCCTCCGAGTAGCTGGGATTACAGGTGTGTGCCACCACACCCGGCTAACTTTTGTATTTTTAGTAGAGACCGGGTTTCACCATGTTGGCCGGAATGGTCTCCAACTCCTGACCTCAGGTTATCTGCCCGCCTCGGCTTCCCAAAGTGCTGGGATTACAGGCGTGAGCCACCGCGTCCGGCCAGCTTTGTTCTTTAATGACTGGATAAAGCAGTGTACCTTTGAGCACGGAATTAAACTTAGGCAGTGGCGGCGGGGACAGTACCCCAACCCCTCCCACCTTGCAGCTTAGGGGAGGGATTCCCTCAACCTCTCTCCCACCCCAGGGAAACAGAGGAGGTAGAGAGCTGGGTTCACACGGGGCCCCACTTCTTTCCTGCGGGGTGACCCCGAACAGGTCACCGAAACTCTCTGGTCTCGTTTTTTTCATAAAGTGAGAATGAGTGTGTCCCTAGGGCGCTGAGAGTATATATAAAGAAAGAAGACTCAGGGTCTAGGCCCTTGGAAGGGGCAAAGAGAAGGACAGCTGGTTAGGCAGCGGCTGAGCGGGAGAAGCAGCCCGGGGGCTGGGCTCGGCTGGGGGTGCCTCCAGGACCCGGACAGAGCCTACACCGTCAT